TTTAGTAAAACGAATAAATTTAACAGAAGGCACGTCTTATGCTTACAAATCCAGCCAGCATTTGTGGCGTTACACAATACTAATGAATTCAGAGTTAAACTAAGTTAACCAATAACTACATAGCATAAAATAACGCGCAAGTTGGATCAAACCTAATACCGACGCAAGAAGCCTAATGGCAAGAACAAGGCTCCGTTCAGAAAGGGGTATAAATGTCCTGATTTAAGCCGAGCTTCGTTGCTAGGTAACCAGAACTTGCTACGTCACAAAAACTGGTTTAGGGACTTTGACATAAAGTTTCTGTAATATAAAGAGTCGACTAATCAGAGCGAACGAGCATAACCTGAACAAGCAAACAGAGCGGGAAGGCTGTAGACCAGTGGTACCCAACCTTTGACCTCTCGCGAGCACATTTCCAAAACATCAACATTTTTGTTAAACATATTTCCAATCTTATGTGATGCTCCTGAAACATTAATTTCGGCAAATGGGTTTGAGATGAATAATAATATTGGTTGAACTTTATGGAAATCAGAGAAGCGGAATTCAAAATTTGTTTCAGTGCATTTAGGTTTTCCGAGTATTTTCTCTGTTTCAAATGCCTTGTGGTTATTAATATGGCCTGATAAATTCTGAGAAAATGGGAGATTTTTTTCTTTCATCTGATTTATCCACAAATTTAACTTTATCTGAAAAGCAGTTACAGTCCCAGTCAATTAAAAAGTTTTTTTTTTTTTTTTCTTTTCCCTGGAGATTTCGTTCAGTTTTTTTTTTTTCAGTTTAGCTGTTATATCCGTGAGAAAATACAGATCGGATAACCAATTATTATCGTCCAATTCTTTATAACTTTCGTTTCCGGGTTCCTAAAGAAGTTCTACAAATCGTTGAAGTACTTTTCCTCTGCTGAGCCATCTAACATCAGAATGGAGCAATAAGATTCCATGTTAGCTATCAAGCTCATCACTCAGCAATCAATTACTTTATAACGTCTTGCAAGATATCTCTTATGACTATAAATGCTTACCATATTTTAACAATTAAGAAATATAAATGAATGGTTATTTAAAAAAATTTTTTTTTCATAGTACCTAATCGGGCTGGCGAGCACATACAAAACGATCGGCGAGCACAAGGTTGGGCAACGTTGCTGTAAACACACCCACGCATGTGCAAATTTAGCTTCCTCTAATTGATTACGGCTTGTACCCTCTCTCGCAGGTGAGAAAGGAACTCCCGCATTTTATGCCTTACGACTAAGCCTCTATGACATTTATACCACCATCTGAATGAAGCTTAACTCAACACCGCAGACAGACAGCTATGGAAGAGATTCAGTTCGTAACGTGGCCTTCATCAGGCGGAATACGCTCTGACTAAACAAAGTAAACCCTTCCTTTAAATACTATCTTATTCTGATTCATTTGGATACGCGCGAACTAAAATTTGCATTCTGGTAGAAAAACGGAAAGCGAGACTGAGAGTAAATGTATTAAACATAAAGTAACTGGTTAGATAAAAATAAACAATTCCCTGTTGTCTTTATGAGGAAGCCGCCCATCAGAGATAGTAGTTGGCAACGCTGACTGCCGTACAAATATATAGTGCGAATGTGTTGTGTCTGTGCAGCATGGAAGTACTCTCAATATGCGTATTTCAAGTTGATCCATCTTTCATATATACTATCTTCATATTAATACTGAGAACATTTTATATCCCATATTACGTAATAATGAGAATAAATAAGCTGTATAGAAGATTCCTGCAAAACGTAGTTCGAAATACATAATAAGCTCGTTAACTGCAGATCTATCTACAGATAGCAAATATATACGCTGTCAAACATACTGAACGGGTTAAAAAGTAAAAGTGTAATTTATAAAAAAAATAAATAAATAAATAAATAAAATTTTCAGTTTGAGTGTACCGAGTCCAAAAACGTTAAACAGAAGTAAACCAATGTAGCAAAAATAAAAGAAAAGGGCAGAAATGCATATACTTATAAAAGCAAAGAGATCTGAGAATAGAAACAAATATATTCACTGCAGCTTCACCGTGGATTTGGGTACTTTTGACAACAAAGAACAGTAATTTAAACTGAATAAAAATAGTTCATAAAACTCTTAGTGTACACTTTAAAAACGTCTTTTAACTTGTATTCCTCAAACTTAACGTCTATAATCTACCGAGTTGTAAAATCGCAAAACACAGGTATTTTGTACTGGGTTTAAATCCTGGTGTCTTGACTCATTCGTTAGACATTTTGGTAGTATGATTCCATTTTTTAAATGTAACAGAAATTAAAGGCTGATTAAAATATCGAATTTCTGATTTTGATTTGGGAACAGGATTATTTTATCATATATTTTTAATGTGAATTCTAAAAGACAACTGTACTTCTAAAAGTACTCGATTTGATATTTCTCATTCTTCTTTTAATCCAAGGTTTAAGGTATTTCATATTACCATACTCAAGATTTTTCTTTCATTCATTTGCAAACTCAAGATTTTATGTATTCATTTGCATATTCAAGATACTCAAAACACCAATATGGAACCTATAAACTTTTAACCCTTTTAAATAATTCTATAAACTCTTAAAAAAATTCCGGTGTACTAGTTGAACAGAGTACTAGTTGAATATCTTTATGAACTCAAATTCCTATGAACTGTTCATAAACACTTATGAACTCATAAAAACTCTAAATTCATCTCAGCAACTACGAGTATTGCAGAACTTTTTAATTAGAGTCAATCAATTTTCATATATATGTCAAAGATTTTCTCATAACTTTATTTAATCTAAAAATCCAAATTTCATGTATTATATAGGTTGTAAAATTTAAATAAACATGGTCCCCCTGAGTGAGCAATAAAGCTGAGAGTCTTCATGGCACAGCTGCTCACCCAGTGGTCTCCTGTCCTGTACTTCTTAGAGTTTCAAACGCAAACAAATAGCGGCCGTGTTAGCGCCACTTTTAAATTGCTGATAATTTTACAACTGTTGCATGCAGATTAATTAAATACCTAAAAACCTTAACCAGAACATAAGAACAACATAAGTCAATTTTAAAGCAAAACATACACAATTCAATTTGCCAACATATAAGAACAGAAAAACAGAGCTCACCGAGTCGTGTAAGAGAGTGGGTATATATATATGAGTTTGGTGCGGCCAAAAAGTGGTTGCAACAAAAAAGTGAGCTACAACTAGATATTAGAGTAGTCCCATCTACATAATTTCATCATTCTACAACTAATCGTTTTTGAGTAATACGAGATAAATACATATGCGTGAACGTATAGACGTCAGAGAAAAAATTCCTTTTTAAATCCATTTTACCATCCATTTTGAAAAAGAAAATAGTTCTTTATTCTATACTTATACAGATGACATGCAAAATAATAATTTAAATGAATTCGAGAGCGGTCAAAGTGGATATTTTCGTTGAAATACGATACCCGAAATTTTTCGCGATTACAATAGTTCCTTTACTTCGTACATAAGGTAGTAAAAATAGCATTAAATGTATATTTTTTTTAAATATTAAATTGATACAGATTTATTTAATGGGTTCGATGCATACATATTGTTTGGCAATGATGAGCAAATGTAAACAAAATCCTTATTTATTATAAAATATGTAAATTATAATTAATAATTAATTTAAAATCAAAAAATTAATAATACAAATTAATAATTTATTGCGTTAAAATCAATATTTTTTTAAGCTTGACAATTTATATCGATACAAAATTACATCGTAATTTAATTTTAAATGAATATCAATACATTGCGCATTTTGTTTTAAATCAAATTCTACTCTTTGCATTACCGGAAATATGTATTTGTGTGGATACGCTAATGCACGTGAGAGAAAAAACTAAGGATGCCTTCGTGGAGGAATTTCCAATATAAAGTGGCTTGAATTTACTACGCATTTGGGATATAGAAAAGGAATGATACCTATACCCGGATACGTTACGATCTGAGCTGGTCCAGAAACCTGGAACTATGCATGCATCTGAAAGAGCAAAAGGATTTTAATTCTTACTTATACATTTAGTAAAAATTGTCTAGACGGTGTTTAAATCAAAATATTAATGCAAAAAGTATTTAAAACTGTTTCTAAAGTTTGCAGTATAAATTAACGTATTAAGAATATATGTCTCGCATTCTTTTTAGAATATACTGTATCGATTTCTGTTAAAAATGTATCTGCAATGAAACTCTAAGCTTAATTTTCATTGCCATACTTTAAGTAGTTCTTAAAAAGAAAAAAACTTAAATATGTTAACTTCATAATTTTGGGGGGATGGAGTAAAAAGTAAAAAGAGGGTGGCTGTATTGAATTTTAAGTATTGCGCGTTCCAGTGTTTTTTATTTCATTAGAAATTAATCCACGGAAAAGTCCAAAATGGAAAACTTTAAGTTAATGAGCCATGTAACTTCTTTTAGAAAATAGGAAAAAAATATTGTGGCTATAGTGTAATTATTTAATGGAAAGGTTTAAAGCGTAATCTTTTCCCACAGGTCGTCAAAAACTCAACAATTTTGAAACAATCTATTGGCATCCAGCAGAATTATTTTTTTATGCACCTTCTTTTTCTGAAAAAGTTATTTAATCTAACAAATTTTAAACTAACCGTGAATTTTTGTGCTTGATTTTTAATGACAACAATAAAAGAAACCTTTAACAATCGTGTAGATAGAAGAGTTGAAAAAAACAAAAGTTTAATTTGTTGGTCTGTGAAGCATGATTGCAGATATGATTTTAATAGCAGAAGTTAATTAGTTGTTACTTTGAACTGTCTTCTTATTGAAAATAAAAGAACTACATGCCCATGTTTTCTTCCTAGAAGAGCGTTTCGTCTACTTATAGTGGATACGATCAATATTTCTTAGAAATAAAAGGTTCTATTCATAATGTACCAATTATCTTCCCTCTTTTTTATCTTTGGAAGCAAAATTTAATGAAAATAGTACCTATATAAGCAGAGAGATCCAAGGATAGAAATAAGTCTGTTCTTTGCAGCTTCATCGTGGATTTGGGTACTTTTGACAAAGCGAATTTCGTTCAAACAATGATTTCTGCACAATGTTTCGTAAGTTTTAAAAATATTTTCTCGTTTTAATTTCTTGTTTCTTATAAGCATATATTTTGTGATTCATAAAATTTCTTTGAGCATAACTAGAATCGTGTTTAAAATAAAATATATCATGTAAAGCATTAAATATATTCCCTAGTTTATTAATAATTATTAAACATTTTTTACTAGCTATTTGTCCTATTTTATAGTAAATATATACCTAAAATATTAAATATAGCTTGAAAAATTTTTGCCAAAATTTTGCATGTTTAAAAATATGCGCACAAAAAATGAAATATATAAAATTTAAAAAACATATTTGAGTATCAGATTACATTTTCTGCGTTGTTGCAATATAATTTGTATTTCATTTCAGACAATATAATGTTATAGTGAGGAAGCCTTTTGCATTTCTATACAATGCAATATACTCTGACTATCTGATTATGAATTCGAAGTTTTTGGCAATAATTTGCTTATAGTTTATTAGAACTTTTACTATAAATTTAGGATTATCTTCGAAACTTAAATTAAAACTGCCTTCGCCGGAAATCGAACCCTGGACCTCTGGAATACGCGCCCAGCGTGCAGACCACCACACAAGGCATGCCAAGAAGGCGGGAGAAATACTTTATAAACTAAAATTAGTTTTAATAAAGGCAATGCTTATTTATTCTGTAGTGATATCGCAAATCTAATTAGTGTTTAGTTGTCACTGGCGTACCTAGAGGGGAATGCATGGGGCAGTCCGCCCAGGGCGGCATATTTTTATAGGCCGTATTTTTGGATTGAAGCATTATCTTATAGTCTTGAATCATGTGGATCTTCTAGGCAGAAGAAGAATGACTATATTCTGAACTGTCATGCAGAATTAAATTGAGAAAATCACCATGAGATTTCAACAGATATATGTTTTATAACCTTTTTTTACTCCGTCGAAACTTTTGAATGAAAATTAGGAATATCCACTAAATTATGATGATTGTGATGTTAATAAGGATCATTGTTAAGAATGAAGCATTTTAGAGTTTTATTTCCGTTATTGCTAAGGAAAACGAATGGGAGCGTGTAAGGGCGGTTTTCTTTAAAATACCATCTCCCAAACAAAAATATCGTAATATTACTGCGAACCTTGCTCAGGTTGCTATAAATGTTGCTAATTGTGAGAAGAGTTTTCTAAATAAAAATCATTTAAGAAGTGTTAATGAACTACAAATATCTATTTTTCATTTAAGTATTTCTTTTTATACTGACTACATCTCAGCAACTGCAGCAATCAAGTAGACCTCTGTAATGTCATCGATGATTTTACGAACAAAAAGCAAGTAAGCAGGAACATAATTTTAAATACTGGAAGTTTTCTTCAAAAATAAACATAGAGCTTTAATTTGTTTTTCTATATGCCATTCTGATTGTTTACTTTTTTGCTTTATATCAGAGAGGCTGGAAAATCTGAGACCGCCCCTTACGGCAAAAGCTCTAGCTACACTGCCGGTTAAACGAGTTTATTATATGAGACAAATGAGCATATGTGATTCGCATATTAAACAGTTAATTGTTTTTGTTTAATGAAACCATATTAAAATAGATTTGTTAGATTAAAATAAATGTAAAATATTTTTTAAATTACATTAATATAAACTTAATTATTATATGCATCATTACTCGAAAGTGAATAGCAGTTTAGCGTATGTTTTAAAGGAGTAAAATAACACTAAATTAACATCAAGGAATGGCCCTGGTTAAGGATTAATAAGTAAGGAAAAGCATGGTCGAAACACATCATGCAATAGGAAAAGGGTTAGAAGTCACTTGGTGATGAAAGAAGAAGCTGAAGATTCTCTGGATGAGGAGATTGTCAAGATTTGGCTTATAAGGTATTTTCTCCCTTCTTTCCGTATATCTTCCTGATGCAAGTAAAATGAGACTGGATGCGCATTTGAGAGGTCCAGGATTTGAATCCCGGCGACGGCCTTTTCATGCTTAAAAAAACCCCGATGACTCTATAGGCGGTTTTGTTGTGGAAGGAGTTAAAGAAAATCCTATGACTTACTTTTTTTTTCTTTTGGTATCCTATTTGTATGAACTCTAAGGAAATATTGCTTCAGTTAAACTCCTTTTCACAAAGTCAATCCATATTCAATCACTGCCGATTCTGCTGCTTTTAATAGTTACAGTAGCGTTTCTTAAACTATGGGTCGCTACCCCAAATAGGGTCGAAAATCAAAATTTTGGGGTCACGAAAATTCAATCAATAATTGAATTTAAAGGAACTACATTTATAAGACTTTTAAAGAAATTACATTAATTGATATTAATGAGATTAATTACCTGTGACATAAAGTGTAAAAGGAACTTGTAAAGATATCTAGCGATTCAAAACTAAAAGTTCAGTTTTCACCAAAATTTTTGATGAATTCTGGATCGGAGTTACAACTAGATTTCTCACTATTTGTGAAATGGCATTAAATGTTCTTCTCTCATTCAGCACCACATATTTTTATAAAACTACTTTTTTCTGCTTTGACGCTTATTAAAACCAAATGTCGTTCAATGTTGAAACGTGCTGAAGAAGTTTTATGTTCAACAGTATAAAATATCACACCAACATTTAATTTGCTATGCAGCAGAAAACGACCACACAATGTCTCATTAGAATTTTCTTTAATTTTTGTTTGCTTAAAATAAATCCTGTGATAAAAAGGAGTCCCGATTGAAAATTGTTTAAAAATCCCTGAGTTAGAGCATTATTATAAGAAAGAAGATTTCCCCATTTATTATTATCATCTGGTTTCATCTATTATTATCTCATCTCATATAAAATTGACCAATCATATTTATGGTTGCATTTATCTCAAAGAAACTCATTTTCAAGTTTATTAATTTCTCTTTAACTTTTTAATATAATTTTGATCCTTAGGAAGAATTTCTAAAGCACGTTAAATCTGGAATAGTGTAAATTGAGCTCTCATAAAACGGAAGTTGATTCTTTTTATTTATCATAATTATTTTCTTTTAAAATAATAAATTTTCAGCGCTGAATTCTTAGAGATTACAGAAAAGTGGAACACATTTTGATAATATATCTGTTTCAGGGGTGGAAATAAAATATTTCCCTTTGGCAATTACTATTAACTATTGTAGTCGAAAATAAGTCCACGCTTTTAAATATGAGAATGAATTACAAAATTAAACTCGCTTACTGCGTGCTTCAAACATTTTGAGGGTTTTATGTCATTAGGCTAAAATTCTAGCCCCTAGTGCAATAAGCCTCATATAAAGAAGAGACCATTTGAAATCCAGACGCCATCCAATAGGAAATTATGCTAACGAGCTGATTTTATACATGACAGAAAACACAGAAGCGAGTAAAAACATGCAAAAGTGTATATCTTGGAGTTAAAAAGTTTCTAAATATATTTTTGCTTTCTTGTGAAAAGTGGCTTATTTGGCATGCAGTAAAAATGATGCTAAATAAAGCTGAAATAATGTGGTAAATTATAGCCCTAACAAACTATTTCTATTTCAAATTTTAGAATAATTTGTTACAGCTATGTATTTAGGAATATTTTCTTTCATTTTTAAATGATAAATAATGATTTTAATTTCAGGTTTATCTCGTCGGCGTGTTGTTATTCATGACTGCGACTGAAGCAATAGGAATTGGCGAAATAGAAGGAGGTACCATTGGTGGTTATGGACTCGGCGCTTCTGGCGTGGCAGCGAGTAATCGTGGTGGTTCTGGCTATGGTGGACGTACAAGTGGAGTCTCTTCCAAGGGCTACGACAGGGGTTTCAGTTATGGAACTGGATACGATACAGGAAAGGCTATCAGCGTCGGCGACGAAGAATACGGAGGCAAAGGTTTTGGTGAAAATGAGCTGGTCGGTTACGGATTACAGCGAACAGGTTATGGTGGCAAAGGATACAGAAGATTACGAGGACCCTTCATCTTCTTCCGATAGAGTCTCTATGGACATCTGGCTCAAAAGCTATTGATTTTTTTTAATATATTCTACGAACATGGAGACATCAAAACGCAAATGTATATCACGAGAATATTAAATTGCAATTTCTGGACTTTTTATATCATATTTGCTATTCAAGTATTTGTTTATTCATAAATAAAATATTGATAAATAAAATATGAACTTGATATTGGATATTTTACTAGATTTTCAATTGTTTTAGGTGGGATGATAATAATACATTTGGATTAAAGCAATTTAATGATCCCTAGAATTTATGGATTGGAGTTATGTTACTAAACATATTAATAAATGTATATCTACACTTTGCATGCATAATGCGTTATTTAAAGTCTGAATATTCCTTCAAAACTGCATCCACGTTAACTAAGGATTTACTAATTTACTATGCTTATTCATTTTTTATGGACGACAGGAAAATAATTAATTGCCTGCCTTTCACTCTCTTAAATCTTCAAAATGTGACATGATAAAGGCAATAGGTTTTGGAATTGTAGGATTATACAATTTAATTTCGGTATTATTTTTATCCATTACACGGAAATAATTTCCAAGCGTCCAAATTAAATGTTACAGATACGGTGTGTGCGCGGAACTAACTGCTACATTAACAGAAAACATCTGAAATGTAAATTATTATAGAAGAGAATCGTGAGACTCTTTTTACTCTGGAGTTTAAAAAAATCTCTTTAACCTTGCTTTAGAAACTCTTTCATTTACTATATGAACTGTGGGAAATAATTTCATGGTATGCATGCATGATCTTTCTGTATATTATACTGCATTATTAGATTGGAATATACACCAAAAGTATTAGTATTAGGAGGAATGGAAACCTTCCCGAAGTTTTTTCGGAAAACATTACCAGACTTGACTTTCTATACTATTTACTTTCAAGGTACTATTATATAAGTCTTTGGTCTTTGGAACACTTAGACGAAAATTATTGTGCGATATTTTAAAAACAGAGATTACATTTGTGTAAAATTATTAGGATTCTTTTGAACTCAGCATATGTTTCTACGGATCATATATTTCACCCAGACAAACTGAAAGTATATTTTTATTTTGTTAATTTCTCGTATTCTTAAAAATTATTTCTGCTAATATTATTCGATGGCGTATGTAAGTAAATTTCAGTTTTTTGCCGCTTTACTGTGCTTTGCACAAATAAGACTGAAAATTGCCTGACATATTTCTAAAGTACTCTATACTAATGACGTACGCAATATTTCTTTTAAAACAAAGAGAAACCCGTTTAATTGTTTCAATCTTCTTCAATTATTTTTTCTTATTCATTAAAATCAAGATTTCGTACTTATTTTCTATCACATATTTTTTTAACTTTCTTTAGTTCAAGAGTATTTAACCTTAATTCCTTTTTTAAATGCTACATAAAGCTATAAAACAAAGCTAATAAATTTTTTACAATAATTTTCCTAAAGGAAAGTTTTCATTTTTCTGCAGACAGGTTCAGTAGGATTAACATTATTTTAATTAATTATCTTTTGAGAAACTCTAGTAACCACTTGTATACTTCCAATTGAGAAAAATATGCAGCATATTGATGAATCAAGGAAAGCTATTTACTAGTCGAATGGATATATGTAGACATGGACAAATCTCGAAGAATAGTATTTACATTAGTATGTTCTGGTTTCCCTCATAAATTGAAGAAATAAATAATGTTTGCATATTTTGTACTAATAGGTACACATGTCGTCCCCATTAGTTGTGAGGTTAAACATCATTAGTATTTTAAACCATGGCTTTGCCACTCTTTACATAAATTGCCAGGAGTAATATTCTAATCACATTATGAGTAGGTAATTTGCTAGCGCCACTAGCGTCAAGCAAGCAAAAATTAATAGCCAATAAGCAAGCAATGTTTTGCTTTTACCATAAGCAAGCAAAAGTTATTATCAAAATACTTACATGACTTAATTGCTAATAAATGGCTCAATACAAAGAAAAAGCAGAGAGTAACAGTTTTGGTCATGTAACATTTTCTTGTAAAGAATATAAAGCTTCGCTTTTTATAATAACCTTAAGAAAAAATAAGATCACGAAGGAAAAAATTACCAATATTCGAATTAATCAAACAAGAAAGAGCTACCTGAAACGATCAAAATTACCCATGACATTATTAAATAAAATTTTTGAAGTCGTGAGTAAATATTGTTACAAATCAGGCGTCGACAACCTATGGCGCGCGGTACAGTTCTGAGTAACACTCTACAAAGTTATCAGGCAAAGCTAAATAACGTTGGCTCCCCTTCTCCTCCTTGCGCCGTCAGGAAAGATTAGTTGTCAAATTTTCGTCACAGAGCTTAATTTCTGTAATGAACACTTTTGTTAAAATGGTTAATTTCATAGTTTCTCGTTCTTCGTTGGTACACAGGCAATTTAAATCTCTTTTAGAAGAAATGGAAAGCGAATATGTGGATCTCTTCCTATACAGCCATGCTCATTGGCTCATCTGAGGTAATGTTACCAAATACTCCTTGAACTGTTTTCGTGTTGGAAAATGCTTTGCGACAAAATCAAATACAGCAGAACTCCAGTTATTCGAATCAATTGGGAATGGACCCCATTCGGATAATCAAAAATTTCCCGTTGATATTTATCAATATCATTTATAATTCTACAACTTAAGGGTCAATCAAGTTTTCACCAGTAATAGGCATGCTGCAAATTTAGATATAATTTTAAATTAAAATTACCTGTAAATATATTTGTACACAGAAAGGCTGTTAGTCACTGACGGCATACAGTTGATGGTCGCAGTAAAGTAATCTAGAATCTTATAGTCACCGCCTCACACCAGTAGACGTTGGATCACCGATATGGAATGGTAAACCACAGAATTTTTTTTTTTCCTATATTTTACTTCGAAACTGTTCCTTTTCGTTTTTACAAATGTTAACTTTTTATGCTTTTCAAATTTTTTCGTCTAACATTTTTTTATTTTACGCTTAACTTCCTCCTTGTTTTAAATACTTACTGATGTTACTATTCTCTATTTATCCAAATAAAAACTATATCTATTTCTATTTATGGAAATAAAAACTTATGTATGTCTCTCTGTCTGCGAAGTTTTAAACTGGAATTTACATGCATATCATTTCACTCTGCAGGACTTCATGAGTAACAATTTCTGTAACTTTAATCAACTTAGACCAATACCTACAATGCTAATTCTATATAGTTTAGTTGAATTTCTTACTCTTTACACTATTAACACTTAATAGGAGATCTTTAGAACTTTCTTTTCTAATGTATTATACTAACTACTAATGACTGTATTAACATTTTGAAACAATATACAAAATATCACAGATTCTCTTTTATACATTTTACTCTTATTCAAAGCGATCATCAAAATACGTCTATGCAAAATGTCAAAAAATCTCTTTGACACATCTTACTTTTATTTATAATTTTCACTATATTATGTCTAACAAATGTAAATTTTACACGTTTCTGCTTTTCATTTACACTATAAAGAATAATTGTAGGTTAATTGGAAACAGGACAGGTGAAAAATGAGCAACGACCTCGCCGGGAATCGAACTACGGACCTCTGGAATACGCGCCCATCGTGCTGACCACTACACTACGAAGGCATGCTAAGAAGGGGGGAGAAATGCCTTATATAATCCTCCTTCTAAAGGGCGACTGAGAATTAGGTGACTCAATGGATAAATCCTGGGGCTGAGAATCATCATCCACCACCCTTCAAGTTTGAGCGCCACTGCAGAGACATTAGCTTAATTGGAAACAGAAGAGATGAAAAATGAGCAATGCCCTCGCCGGGAATCAAATCCACGGACCTCCGGAATACACGCTCAGCGTGCTGACCACTTCACTATGACGGCATGCTAAGAAGGCGGGAGAAATACCTTATAACACATTTTTTCTTATATTTAACTATTATCATGCTTTTAAAACATATATATGTAACATTCCTAATTCCTCTTTTCCAAAATTAAAAAAAAAAAGGCTTATACAAGTTTCTTTATTGTAAAATCTATTGACTTCAACTGAGTCAAATGTTATAATTCAGGAATGATGAATTTTCATAGCATGAAGTCTTTTTAAACCGGTGCTTGTACATTTCTCCACCAGTTTGTTGAAATACACACCAAAAATATTTCATTTATTATTATTTTACATCACAGATATTTATGCGAATATACCCCAAACACTCTCTTTTATCCATCAGAGAATTGATTTATATAAGTAACACAAATTAACTCTTTGAAAAGATTCGCAAAAATATGTTCGATTTTCTTGTACACATCTTACCTTTAACCACTAAAAAATACGTTAAAACTTCATTTTTCATCCTGTGAACCCATCACAAAGATTCTTAACATGATGCCACCATCCATCGCATAACCACTGCTATATTCAAGCTTAACACAGCGCTTGACTTTCTTAACAAGGTACTTTGATGTCGAATTACTCTTAAATGCAGAAAAGAATATATACGTTGTAAAGTATTATTTAAATTCGCAGCGAGAACTAAAAAAAATTTTTTTAAAATAACCTGAAATACAACGTAGAATTAATGTTCAAGCATAGAAATGAAACTTTTTTTCCCTTTCCCAAATTGGAATATTTTTTCCATCCATTATTATCATTACTTTTTTTGAGTCTGGAAGCTTTTTAAAGTATTCGTGCTAAAAAACAGACATTTCAATATACACTGAAGTGACAAAAGTCATGGGATAGCAATATGCAAATATACAGATATATAGCGTAAAAAATGTATAAATGCGAAGTGCTTTGGCAGGGCTTTCATTTGTGTTCAAGTTATTCATGTGAAGAGACTGTGAAAAGACGTGATTATGGTCGCACGACGAGAATTAACAGACTTTGAACGCGGAATGGTAGTTGGATCTAGACGCATGGGTCATTGTATTTCGGATATCGTTAGGGAATTCAACATTCCGAGATCCAAGTGTCAAGAGTGGGCCGAGAGTATCTAATTTCAGGCATAACATCCCACCATGGACAGCGCAGTGGCCGACCACCTGCACTTAACGACCGAGACCAGCGACGTCTGCGTAGAGTTGTCAATGTTCACAGACAAGCAACACTGCGTCAAATAACCTCAGAAATCAATGTGGGACGTACGAAGGACAGTGTGGCGAAATTTGTCTTCCTTGGGCTATGCCAGCAGAAGACCGACTCGAGTGCCGACTCGAGCCAGCACGACATCGCCTGCAGCGACTCTCGTGGGCTCATGAGCATATCGGTTGGTCTCTAAACGGATGGAAAACCGTGGCTTGGTCAGATGAGTCACGATTTAAATTGGTAAGAGCTGATGGTAGGGTTCGAGTGTGGCGCAGACTCCACAAAGACATGGACCCAAGTTGTCAACAAGGAACTGTTCAAGCTGGTGGTGGTTCCATAATGGTCTGGGCTGTTTTTACATGGCATGGACTCGGTCCTCTGGTGCAACGGAACCGATCATTGACTGGAAATGGATACCTTCAGCTACTTGGAGATCACTTACAGCCATTCATGGACTTCACGTACTCAAACAACGATGGGACTTTTATGGATGTCAATGCGCCATGTCACCGGGCCACAATTGTTCGCGATTGGTCAGAACATTCTGGACAATTCCAGCGAATGATCTGGCCACCTAGATCGCCCGACATGAATCCCATCGAACATTTATGGGACATCATCGAGAGGTCAGTTCGTGCCCAAAACCTTGCACCGTCAACACTTTCACAATTATGGACGTCTATAGAGGCAGCATGGCTCAAAATTCCTGCAGGGGACTTCCAACGACTTGTTGAGTCCGTGCCACGTCGAGTTGCTGCACTTCGCCGGGCAAAAGGAGGACCGACAAAATATTAGGAGGTATCCCATGACTTTTGTCACTTCAGTGTATATCACTGAACTCTCAATAGCTTTTTGAAAATATTTGATATTTAATTTATCATATTTAGCAAATAAAATCCTGCATAAGCGTAACACATAACAGGAAATTTTGATATGAATTTCAAATAATGATCCAACATGGCAATTAACTTAAAAGTTTTAACATATTTGTTCTAACTTAATATACGCATTTCAAATTGGACTTTCTTTATTTATTCTGAACTTTCACACCTCTTTAAGCATATTTGACATTTTATGTATCATAGGTATCATATTTAGCGAATAGAAAGTATGCGTAAATATTATACATAACATAATATTGACATAAAACTCCATAATCAGAAGCTGTTCTACATTTTTTAGACGATTTTCATTGTATTTAAAGAAATATTTTACGTAAAATTTTCGTGTTTTAAATATTTCATTTGATAACCTATGTTCTTCACTATCGTTTTGCGTAGTTTTCAAGATAATGAAGCCTTTTGTAGTATCGGAAGAGGTATTTTATCCCAGTCCTCTTGGACAGCTTTCCATAGTCTAAGGAGGATTGTAGGTCGACGTTTGGAATATTATCTTTATGAAAGCCCAAAAGTGTAAAAATCCATGGGTTCAGGAGATTTAGTAGGGATATGAGTGAAGGATATGGCCTTGACACCCTTTTCTTGTTCCATTTTTCACAGGAAATTAACAGTGGATTTTGACGTGCGGCTACTTGCTTTGTTTTGATTCAGTTCTATTGATTCTTAGCACTGTGTGTAAAGAGAAGGTATTTCATATTTTAAAAGAGTTCAAAATATATTCCTGATAGTATATGCAGTTGATCTTGGTATTTTTAATTTGCCGTTATATAAAAAACCAGCAGCAATTATAAATCCCTTTTAAAAACTTTCTTTGGATTAAGTTGAACCATGTTTTAAGATTGTTTTCTTCCTCTTTGATGATAATGAATATCTGTCTTTTTACTGTAGTAATTTAAATGCATCCAATGTTCATCTACTGTGACAACATTTTTCCTTTGTTGTCCGGATAAATATTTCTCATAGGGAATTCTGCAGTGCGTTTTGTATTCGGCGATATGTCGTGAAGAAAGTTGATGCACATTATATTTTTTCACCTTTTTAAGTTTCAAATCAGTATTTCTCACTTTTTCTACAGTTGACAATGAGTATTGTAATGATTTTGTAGCTGTCCTTTGACTTGGCGGATTTTCTTTTAACATTAGAGGTCTTATCTTTATAACATTAGAAACCTTCTGTTTTTATCTGGGATATGTATTTGGAACAATTTTTCTATTTGAAGCCAAATTTTCAAGTTTTTCTTTCCTTGTTGACAATATTACCTATCGTCGCTTTACATATCGAAAAACCACGAATTTCACGGCCTTTTTTAATAACTAGATAAGAATAGCCTAAGATAAGGCTAGATAAGAATAAGCCATAAACACAGCCTTTCATCAATTCCATCTTTAAAAGCTCAATTTTGCATGGAAACAAGAATGTCAAGTAGCAAACGGTAATTTGTACTTTCAAAAATATAGTTGCGATCAAAACAAAAATTTTCAAATAGGCGACGGTTTTTAATAGGAAAGTAAAGTCGTCTAAAAATGTATCGAGTATGGTAGGTAATTTAAATGAAATTTTAACACATTTTAGTAAGACTTAGGCTAAAGATGACCACATTTTCGAGGAAGTATTATTTTAATTAAACACTTGAGACAACGTGTTTAATTAAAATAACGCTTTTCATAGTATATGTTTGAACAAATAAGTCTTCTCATAGTATGTGTTTCTAGATCCATTCTCACTTGAAACGTATACTGTGGCATGTTATTTATCATGAACATCACACGTAATAAGCAAATAAAATATGTTTCAAAAGTCTGAAACGTATTTCCTCTTTTAACCGGCTGTATTTTTAAGAAGATATGCAATATGAATGCTTGGAACCATTCAGTGTTATCGTTCCTCACTTCCTTATATGACTTGATCAAAATATATATGTACTTTAATGTCAGCTAAAAAATGCGAGAAACAATCAGATAGAAAATTATGCTTAATAATAAAGCTAAAAAGACAAAAAGAAATTAGTTAACAGACTTGAATGCAACAGCGGACTGTTAGACCGTGAGCTCAGCAAAAGAGCAGAAAAAGAAACTTAATAAACCCTTCTGGGCGACAGTTAAAATCTGGACACTTTCAGGTTTTTTTAATGTTTTTATTTGTTAATAAAACTCTAATTTATAATTACGCAAGCGTCAACAATCAGCGTTTCTAAATTTACCTGAGAAATCTTGAAACATTCACTGAAATCTGATAGATAATTGAGAAACCTTAATAAAAGTTTTCGGGAGACCATAACAAAGCAGTTCTGTATGATAAGAGCAAACACAATAATATGAAAGGGGGTTAACAAGCATGCAGTATTGCATTGAAAAACCAAGGGCGAAAAACAAACGTTTTGCTATCAGTGCAACCATATATACTCGTATTTAGCGGAATTGCATCAAACGCAATTCCTTGTGTATTTTTTTCTACAAATTAAGAAATGTTGTCAGCAACCCGTTATCATCACAAAGGAGAATAAGGTTCACCTATTTGATTCTTAAATGATTATTTACTCCCCCTCAAACTGTGGCTTATCATCTCCAAGAATGATGAAACAATTACGTTTTATTTTGCTTAGATCTCTAATGACAAGGTTAAAAAGGAGTTTATAAAGTAGACGGAAGAGTTAGAGTGAAAAGGGTAATCTACCATTCACTGAAGCGTATCGTAGGATTTTAATAGAAGGTGTGAATGATGACAGCAACAAATTATCTACTCGCTGATAAAAAATGATCTGTTTATTGACGTTACGTTTCAAAAACAGCGTTTCGTCAGTTAATGTTGGGTGGGTCTAATATTTCTCGGAAATAAAAGCTCGTTTTCATACTACGTTAAGTGCCTTAACGTTTATTTCTAAGCAAAAGGCAACGTAACTGACACCTATATATAAAGAGCGATCCGATGCAAGAAACAAATCAATTTAATACAACCTCACAGTTGGATACTTTTGACAACAGAGAAGTTGGCTGAAAAGATGATTTCTTTAGTGTGCTTGGTGAGTTTCAAAGCCATTGTTCGTATTTTAAATCCTTTTTCATTCAAAATATAATTTTGAAGTTTACATTGCATTTTGGCCATAAATTTATGTAAAAAGGAAATATTATTAAAAGTAAGCATTTCAATGAAAAACGGGAGTGAAGCCACTAATGAAAGCTAGGATAATTCCTATAATTAAAAAAAAAACTGAAAAACATATTTATGTAACAAATATTTTATATTTTTGCGAAATAAATGAATAGCTAGCTAGATTTAAATATTTTTTATCAAAATAAACTGTATCTGTAATGTTTCTGAATATAAGTTAGGAATCATACTGATCGTAAAATATGTGCTTCGTAAGAAAATATAACAATGATTTTTTTATAAAAAGTGTCCCATCAAGACCACCCAAACTCTGCACAGCCGTAAAAAGTCCGTAAAAATCTCTCTTGAATCCGTAAAAAATACCCAAAGAACTGTACCCGAACGATTGAATTTATCTAGAATAGTTTTCGAGATAAATACGAAAGAATTAAGGACCTTATAAGAGGTGTAAAGGTTCAGTAGTCGTAAACAGACGAAAGGCACTCAACTAAAGTCAGAAAATCTTTCGAATACATACTAATGGATCGAAAATGTTCGACAAAGTTGGAGAATGGTGTGTATTCAGAACTTTTTGCATTCTGTTCTTGTCTTGGTCCTTTTCGGACCAATTTCGACGGAAGTTTTCTGTCGGAAAACTGCAGTTTAAACTGAACAAATTATTGTCAGAATAATCCAATGAAAAACATTTTGTTACGTATTTTTCAGACTCCCTTTCAGCCATTCAAGAGAGTTCTGCACATACTGTCGCGGAATCAAAAATTATTGAATCTTTCAGAACTCATTTTCTTCTTACCTTAAAAGGTATGACTGTAGTCATACAGTAGATTCCGGCTCACTCTAGAATAACTAGTAATGAATGGGCTGACAAAATAGCTAAAAAAGGAACTGAAATTGTGCAACTAAATAATAGCGGGGTAACATTTACATCAATGAAAAGAATAGTAAAAATGCTATTAGGAGAATTTGTTATGTTAAATTACTTGAAGAAATTAAGAATAAGGAGTGGAAGGATTCGTTTTATAATATCCCAGACTCTTGCAGATACATCGCAGTTGTGGCGCTTCGTTTAGAGACCGGACATGGTTGTCTTGCTAGACATCTGCATCATATTGGTACATGTGATAGTCCCTTGTGCACTTTGTGCAACTAGAATTTTGAGATGGACAGAGATCATTTGCTAAAATGTCCCTCGTTGGAGGAAGAAAACCTGTGCAGTCGATATTGGTGGGCTAGAGAGTTGATGCGGTTGACATCCAGCGGAACTAATGTTTTTTATTCTTAATGTAATAATATGTTATTTCATTTTCCAGTTTCGATGTAGCTATTGTTATTGTAATGAGGTTAATTACTGTTTTGTCTTTTGTATTTTTTCATGCTGCAATTTCATGCAACTTTGATGCATGGAAGTCCGTGATGTATAATCAAGTGCCTTTGGAATAATAAAAGAAAATTCACGAAACCTAGAATCCCTAGTGGTAAAGGTGGGACTACTTAACTCTCGCGTCTAATTAAAAGTCTCAAATACATAGTAAAAGTTCTTTCAGAAATAGAATCATAAATATTACACCTCTAAATTTTTTGTTTCTTTTAAAGTACTTCATCCTCGTAAAGTAAAGTGTTCATACATAACTAAGCAGAATATAAAACTTTATTTCGAATCGTCTAATTTCATGTACTGTGCAGGGTACATTTAAAATAAACTCTATTAGAAGTAAGTACCGGAAGTGTAGGGTTTTCTTTTGTATAATTCAACAAAATTCATATTTAAGTTTTGCAAACAGTAAAGTTATTGTCGATGGATTTTTCATATTTCTGATATTCTTATAGCTGCCATTTTAAAGTAGTTGCCATATAAACAAGTCTGGACGAGGTAATGCAAGTTTTTTAAATATATTTTCAACTGTTAAATATTCTGATACCTTCAACTATTTTAAAGGATTTGGAAAAAAAGATTTAGATAATTTTTCCGGTTTTCATTCTCTTGAGGGATGTCTTTTAAAATGCTGTGTTATTATAATAGGAAAAATCAAAAACTGGATTTTTTTTTAAGGTTTTAGCTTGCTGCTTACGCGAGCGATTTTATTAAAGTTAGAACAGTTTTTAGCGAAGCCTTTAAAAAGTTTTAGAATTTGACGATACGCTACATTGCGCATGTGTGAATACATCATCATTTTGCCTCAGAAGTTTTGCCATTGCTGTAAAAATGCAAACTAGCTTTCAGCGACATGACAACTTTGCTTCAGCTTTTTCAAATGACTTCCCATTAAAATATTAAAAAAATACTGCATTTTTAGCCCAAAGGCACTTAGACAGAATGGACTATTAATCTCGAAACGGCATTTTGCGTAGAATCGCTATAAACGATTGTATCACTTTTCATATTGTTGCCACTAAATATTATCGCCCTGTATTGTATTTATAATTAAACAATAAAGAATTTTCATAAATGTATGTACGTTTCTCGCATTTTGAAAATCAAGGATACCTAGGGCCATCAAATTTTGTATAATGCAGTTCTCCACTCGAAGATGGGCACCTGAAAGTCCGAATCTTCGAATTTGTTGCATATTTTTTAAACTTTAACGAATTTTTGATTAAGAAACTCAAAGCAAGTAAAGGCAAAATACTGGGTGGAACAAAATATTTTTATCTCCATCCCGCGGAACTATCTATCAAAAATTCTAAAGAAATGTTGTTATTAAATATTTCAAGCCCAAAAATGCGTTAGCGCAAATGCTCTCAAAATGTGTATGTACGTATGTGTAAATGAAAAAGACGCCGCTTTGAACGTAATGTAAAATTTGGAAGCTTTCACATTCTTTTTTTAATTGCAGGTTTACCTGATTGGCGTTTCACTTTTTGTGAGTACAACTGAAGCAATAGGTATCGGTGAAATAGGAGGACATGGATTTGGCGGCCATGGGATTGGTTCTTCTGGTTTAGCTGAAGGTGACCGGGCAGGTTCTGGTTACGGCGGGCGTAAAGGTGGAGTCTCTTCTAAGGGCTACGATCGTGGTTTCAATTATGGAACTGGACACGATACGGGAAAAGCCATCAGCATTGGAGATGAAGAACATGGAGGAAAAGGTTACGGTGACAAGGAACTGGTCGGCTACGGACTCGGTGGAAAGGGTTATGGCGGCTTAGGATATGGAGGAATCCTTGGACCCGTTGCCTTCTTCCGATAGAAGCTCAACACAGAAGCTGTTTACTATTCCTTGAAATTTTGATTAGTACAAGACATTAAAGCTGACGTAATAAACATAGGGATAAAACCACACTTTTAAATGTTTGCAAAATACCAACTGAATATGTTGCCTATTCAAATATTAGCGTATTAATATAAATAAAATATTGTTTTAGTCTGATGTTAATTCTTTTCCGAAGTCTGATATTCCTTTGTGATTATGTAGCACATTACATCCTTTGAAATATGTGTATATGCATGGTAAGTTCATATATTCATGATATATTCATGGTAAGCTAAAAAATTGCATTAATTTTTTCGGTCAAGATTAACTATTCAATTTTAAGCTATTGCCATATATTTAAAAATTGTTACCCTTTTATTTTTAAATTTTGATTTCAGTATATCAGGTCAATGAAATATTGCCTTAGGTTGATATTAATTCTGAGTTTCCTCAAATTCCGTAGGATCTTATATATTTAGAAATAAATTATTAACATAAATGCATGCACCCAAGCACGCCCACACACATACACACACACATATACGAGTCGGATAATAAGAAGATTTAAACTCGTGTTCGGCACTTATTAATGATCCTGGTTTAAGGTTTTAAATACTAACCCCTTGAAAAGTTCTATTTGAAGCAATAAGTTTTAAAGTGCTGGCAGAAAACGTTTCGAGAAAATCTGTTACCAAACATTTCGATGCATTTATAGCATAAAATTCTGAAGGTAATAAAAGTATTGTTATTATCAGACATTATAAACTAAGAAAATCTTAATATATAGATCTATTTCTGAACTATTTGAAGCAGTATGTGATATCCATACAGGGTGAGTTCTGTACTATTTCTCTGTTATTCTACCCCTTTGACAAAAATCAGTGTTATACCGCGAGTTTTGGTATGAATGGTCATCTTGATGTTCATGCTGAAATTTCTGTGGTATTTTTTTGCGGTGTGACCTAAAGTTACAGTATGCAAAGACCATTAAATCTCACCAGCAGTATGAAAAAACGCAATGCGACGACTTGCAGTATTAAATGGTTCAGAAATGTAGCTTGTGTTATTTATTAATCCTCTTCAAGTAATACAGAATGTCTACTACCATCCTTAGTTTTTATTATAAGATATTTTGTATCTTTCCATGGATGAAGTATTGAATATAACTGTCGTAAAAGAAACGTTTGGATAATTAAACCTCCATTGGAAGCTCATTCTCAGATGTTCGATGCCCATTCTCAGATGTTCGATGCCCATTCTCAGATGTTCGATGCCCATTCTCAGATGTTCTCAAATGTCATCATGGAAGTTTTATAAGCCTGTCCTGATTTTTATTACACCCTCATACATACATATTTACACATATATATGTTCTCCTTATACTTATATGCATATTTTATGCTTTGCACAGTTTAAAGTTACAGGTTATTCATTTCACTTAGTACATGAAAAGAAGTTACTGGTTTACTTAAGCTTATTTGCAAATGCAAAATACCATCCTTATATGATTGTGAGCTAATCAGCGGTCGAGCACTAAAGTTGCTGAACACTGGTAGTTCGGTCTGGAGTTCAAATACCAGCAAACGGGCTGGCTGCATTGGAGTTTTCACGTTTTTCCCATGTATAACATGTATACGAATCAGTCTCCCTTAGAAAGTTCTCGCAAAGAAATCCCTTTCTTTAGGCAGATAGCCCTAGAATACTTTGCCAAAATTAAATAAACTAAATCAGCCCTAAGATTTTTGTGTTCTGGAGTAATAAGATTGCATAATGTTGTGTCAATATATTTAAATGTACAAGCAAATCTGTTCTTACTTCTGATGGGATGGGTACACAGAAATATGCCAAATCTTGTGGCGTGTAGATATGGCCATACTAATGATAAAGAGCCAAAATGAAGCCATCATGTAAGGCAAATCAAAAAGAAAAATCTTGCGTGAAATAGGAGTAATGATTCTGCTAGTTCTGCTTGAGCATGAACTATATAGAGAGCTAGCTATGTTATGTAAAATAGAAAAAAAATTGGTTCTTTTCTTTTATTTATTTTCATCGTAAAAGAATTGCATTGCTAAGAATGTACATTCCGAGATGATATTGCCACTGATAAGGGGCGCTATTGCTCATTCTACTTCTATAATTATTGGATTCTACTTCTGACATGAAGAAATCACCCAAATCTCTGTAATCTCAGAAGAGATTTTTTGAAGAGTGCCACTATCTGAAAAAGAAAAGTTATGCGTGCCAATTCCAACTTTTCTAACATATTAAAAAATATATAAAGGTGAAAAATTTAATTTATAGACTAATTATGAGATTTTTCACGCAAATAGCACATTTTTTTATAAAAGCGGACATTTAAAAACTTATATAATAAATAAAACAAACATACAAACTAGGTTTTTATTGTTAGTAAACATTTTTTAAGGTTCAGTCAGTTAGGATATATATATAAAATAAAAATGAAAAATTTGAAACATTTAATTCGAAATAACTATTAAAGAGCCTGAACTTAATTAACGTGGTTTTTGTATGTGTAGTTTTTTACCAAGCTATCTGTATTAGGATTGGTTCTTAAAAATGCTAACGAAATTAGGTATGTCAGGTGGATATCTGTTAATCTTGAACGATATTTTGATTTTATTATGTTCTTAATAGAAAGCCTTTGTTCACAAACTTACGTTGAACCAAACCTACAATAATAATGTGAAGGAGTGTCGCTACACCTAAACGTAAATTCAAAGATTTAAAAAAATTATATTTATTCTAAAGTGTTTATGTGTGTATCTATCAACGGAGCTGATACAGATGATGATATTATTTTTCTAAATCTTTGAATTTTTCAATTAGTCTTCGCCTGCCACTGTTAAAACTCCGTAGTGCCACACAGTGGCACGGGTGCCGCGGATTGACCATACCTGATATAGAGCAATAAAAGTTGATAGCATTTTAAAAATGTTTTTCGTTGAAGTAGCACTTTGAACAAATCTCATTTTTTAAGGACACCTTATAACTCTTGAGGCGTAAAGTAATTTAAAATTACTTGCGCTTAATCACAAAACGGTTACGTACAGAAATTAAATAACTGCATGCTTGCGTTATCCTCTATGGTACTGCCGAACTATTAAACACAAGAATAAAAATGAAAGGTAAAACTTAATATTAGACTAAAATGATAATAACTTACGAAAGAGATCTTCTCGTCAATGTTTATAACAACAAGCTGCTTTCCCTTACGCTAATGTTGTGTTATGATAACAATATATTGTCTAAATCTACAAGCTATTTGAAGATGGAATAGAAAATCCAAATTCCTCGATATTTATACATCTTCTAGGCTGCAGTTCCGCAGCTTTCCAAGAGATTTCCATCACTAATCAAATTGACTGAAGAACTCTTATTAATTGAAGAAGGCTCAAACTGACTCATGGTTAACATTACGTCTTACATTTAAGCAAATTATCGTTAAAATTTAAATCATGAATGTCACAACCTAGGTAAAACTTTTGACATTGTGCGTATAAGACATTCAGAATTGGAGTGATATAAATCATCAGTTTTTAATATTTTAATTAATAATGTTTCTAACTGCTAAAAATTTAATTTGTTTAGTTTCATAGTGGAGTAAATCGTAACTTCTTTTTGTGTTGGGATATGACAAAATTCATCAAGAGGAACACTCAAAACATATTGTTACGAATTTTGTATATATGTAAGTAATTTTAGTGAAATTATGCTTAGAATTTTATTATCCCTTATGTAATGCAACATAAAGAATAAGGCCTAAAGAATGAAGCTTTGCCGGAAAAAATAAGATTACAAGGGAAATCTATTTAATATTGAGGTAGATGGCTATGCCGCTAAATTGACGCAATATCAAGCTGGCGATGATTTTGGCAACTAATTTTTGCCACCACATTTAACGAGAAATCTCCAGAAGTCGCCAAACATGGGGACCATTTGGCAACATTTGAGTCCGGCCTCTGTATAACTTACTGATACTGTAACAGAATAACTGTAATTGGTCCCTATATGTAAAATGTAATCGTATTGAACCCTTATACTTAACTTTAACCGTACATGTCTTACGGTACTTTTGAGAAATGGAAAGTACTAGAAATTTCTCGGAAACCGGAGGAAAGCTGTATAAGACCGGACAGAGCATTAGCTCTCTCCTATTAATTCCGAGCTGAACTCGGAGTACTGAGATATCCGTGAGAGCTTCGCCTTTTAAATGCGCTTTTCATTGCTTTGTGTTTAACGTTTTTAATAGTTTGGAGTCTAACTATTGATAGAGAAGAGGTGTACAAGTGTTTTTGTGGAAAGTTTCATAGCTGCCAAGTGTTCCTTTTGGGAAAATAAATTTTACCGAGGTGTCATCGGTTCTGTGTCCATACACTCTGCTATAAATTCGCATGTAAGCGGCAATATACTGCTTAGAATTGAACGGATCTGAATTAGATCGATACAAATCATTTCCTAAGCTATTACTTCCAAAGTTGTTACCTAATGTCACACCGAACTATTCATAAACGATTGATTAGAATCGCTTTTTCTAGCGTTCAACTCTCACAATCTTGAAGGCAGTACAAACGAAATGTTTCATGATTTCATTTGACAAGAAAGATATTCAGAGAAAATTTCAGAAAATTGTGCCTTAAAATGAGCTGCAATTAGTTGTTACAAAGAAATTCACGACATCGCCCAAAAGAAAAAAAAAACATTGGTTTGTAGAGATGTCTTTTATATTTGTTAAAGATGAAAAGGTAGAGTGGATTTGACAAAGAAAACGAAAGCGCACGAAAACAAATATTTTTCGTAGCACATTATAGGGTCGGAGACGTTACATGGCCCTTGCTGGGAACAGTTCTAAGTAAATATTCTCAGAAATTAAAGCGGGTTCTCCTGTTATAGAGCATTTTGCAAATGCTAGGAAGAATGATAGGCACCTAATGCATGCTGCTACGGACTGCAACGAAATGAAGAATGTCATGCATTGGTCCGCTTTAGTGAATGCTCGATCTATAAGATACATGAAATTCTTGAAATGAACGAATATGTTCTACATTGAATTGAAGAATATCCAAACTAAAGCGTGAAATGTTTTACACATAACATGGATGCTGGACATACCACAGTATAAAGAAGTAACAATACATCTCTAATATTTTCAGAGTAACGAATTG